ACCTAGTGTTTCCTTTAAGTTATTAAAGTTATTTAAATAGATTTATTTTTAATAATATTTCTTTACCGTTCCACAAACACTTTTAATACAGAATTTTTTTGTATTAGATCCGTTTTATGAATCTATTCATATTTTTAAAAGTAAATTAACTCAAAAACTTGTATGTTGAAATTATATACATTTACAAATTTATATAATTTCAACATACATAATTATATATCGGCGCTTCTTCTTTCTTTTTCTTCATCTTTGATATATATATATATATATATATATATATATATATATATATATATATATATATATATATATATATATATATATATATATATATATATATATATATATATATATATATATATATATATGTATCTCTGTTTTAAAAATACTGTTATTGCCACTGTTAGGTCTATCGTTCTAAAACTGTAATGTATATTGTTGTTAATTATTTTGTAAATGACTGTCTGTCATAAATAAATAAAATAAAATAAAAATAAATAAATATAAGTCTAACAAGGTACCTATAAGTAAACAATTGCCGTGTGGACCCAGCATAGAATGGACCACTCCTTCCTTTCCCGCGAATGTCGTAAGAGGCGACTAATGGATCTTATTGGTCGAGGGATGGGCAGCAGCCTCTTAAAACATCAGCAAAAGCTTAAATGCAGTTGCCAACCGATCTGCCAAGCGTGGCAACTATTGGCAAAACCCCACTTTTATAGGGGGGTCAGCAGTGGACAGTCAATTCATATGAAGATGAAATATGAATGAAGTTATCAATACGCAATATAAAGAAATAATTGCAATTGTTAAATATCCGAGTATAGTACCAGAGGGAGACTTTGTACAAAAGTCGATTGCTTGGGTACCTCTGTCCCATTCGTGTTTCTACCGTGAAGCAATTGTGTTTGCATGGCTGTGTTTCGGTTTGAACGGTGGGATATGGCGTGAATTTACAGGGTACAGAGGAAAACAGCTCAGGAATGGCAACGCATGGAGGGTATCATGTGCGAAACAGTATACTCTGTTATGTCCATGGTACTGCTCATGTCTATAGGCGACGGTTACCACTTTCCATCAGGTGGGCCCTCAGCTTGTTTGCCATTCTAAGTAGTAGAAAAAATATATATAAAAAGATAGATAGATAGATACTCTTTATTGTTTCCTACATAAGATTACAATAGTAAACTTATTATAGATACAAACAACTAGCATCCATGAATAGAATAAGCTATAGGTATGTCTGTAATTTATACTATAAAGGTAGACATAAGTTATTTTTTTTATATAATTTACTTAATATATGTTTTATCTATTTCTCATTTTTTATTTATTATTATACTAGCGACCCGCCCCGGCGTCGCACGGGTGCTCATTACATCACATCACATTAGAAACCTTTAAAATTATCAGTGTTTCTCTACAATATTATGCATGTATTATACATATAAACCTTCCTCTTGAATCACTCTATCTGTTAAGAAAAACTTCAAAATCCAATATAACTTTTTTTTTATGGGTGAAAAAGGGTTTTTAAAGGTGGTTAAATGTATTTTAAATGTAAAGTATATTTTTAAATAGATACGTATAAATAAAGACCTATTTAAAATTTATTAAATAAGTTTTTCTAAGTCTCAAAAAGACATTATTTCGAATTGCTTCACAACGTTATGTTTAAATGACTTAAAATTATTAAATAGTAGAAATTAATTTTTTAAAGGCATAGTATAAAGAACAGAACGGAACAGAAATAAGCTTCAGTCAAACGGACGATTACAAGCTCTTTTAAATTAACACTTTTTATAACTGTCTATTTGTGAGTCAAATTTCATCCAAATCGATACAGTAAAATTGGAATAATTTAATGACATACGTAGAATATGTAGAGCTGTGACGATCAATATACAAACACCAACGTTATTAAAATCCATTCAGTCGTTTTATGATATGAGGAAATAGAGAAATATGTACACATATATACACAAATGGACCTTAAAAATAGTCTGCAATCCTCTATTGGGTGTAAAATTGAAAATGAGGTATAAAATTGTAGATAGCTCTTTTTTCAATGGATGATATCTATCTTTACACCAATTATCATAAAAATTTTTTGTACCTCTTTGTAACTTTCATATAGGCAATATTAGTTTTTACCCGTTGATTCGACCGGGTTATGTTCATTGACCGGGAAAACAGGCTATCCTTCTCTATCTTGTGTAGTTATATTAAATTTTACAGTAATCGGTTAAGCCGTTAAGGTGTTATAAGATAACAAACGAACAGACTCACTTTCACATTTATATTATTAGTAAAGTCTGTTCTAAGACTAATTATTATAATATGTCAAAAGATAGATATATATATATATATATATATATATATATATATATATATATATATATATATATATATATATATATATATATATATATATATATATATATATATATATACATATTTGCATGACGTACAGCAAACAAATAACAACAGATATTGGTACATACGTTAAGAAATAAAACATATACAAAAAAAGAGGAAAGTAATAATTTTAATGTAAATCTATTAAAAAAAGAATCACCAAAATCGGTTCAGACATGACCAAAATGTGGCACATACACCTACATATAAAAATACCGGTCAATTGTGGACCTCTCTATTTGAAAGTCGCTTAAAAAGAAAGAAATGATAATTAATTCATGGAATAAAAAAGAAAAAAGTCGATTATAAATGCAAATAGTGTTTGTTTTAAACTGTTCATACAGAGGTACCTATCTAAATTTGATTATAAGCTACTTAACACACAGTGTGTCATGCACTTAATCCTAAATGGTTATTTATTTGTGGTCACAATACACTTACAAAGTTGCATCGTATAACGGAATTCTGTAAAATCGAGTAGCATGTGTCACGATTAACGATTAATCGTTGTCACCCGCCAATTTTTTGCACCACAACACTAGGCGTTTCTTTTTTTTTTTAAATAAATTTCGTTAGTAACGAACTTGACATGTCCAGAGGTAAATGCACTTATAACTGACATCGTAATAATGTCAAAGTTTTAATTAAAGAATTTTTCGTGTCTTTACTTTTTTTTTTGTATTTTTAATAACAATTCAATAGTCATAAACAAAAGTACAATTATGTAGCCAGAGTGTGATGTTTTTGTAGTCAGTAAATTAAGTACAACGTGTCTAGTAATAAAAAAAGTTTGTTTACGCAGATGTTTAAATGAGCTATGCCCAAGCTAATAATAGGCGTCTGCTTACCTAATAACTACAAATATGCGAGTAATCCTAATTGCACAGGAATCGAATCTGTGACATTATTCTTTTTTTAGAACAATATTGAAAGTCTAGAAATTTTAAAGACTATCCATTATTAGTCAACTAAGTCTATTTGTGAGGAAGTTAGCGCTAATTAGTAAAATGTTTAGTTAGAAACTAATTAAAGGTCAAGAACCTCTTGTAACGCCATCTGTACGAAATTTGAGAAACTTCTAATTTCGCGAGGGTGGGAGCTTAACGGAACTGACACTTAATGTCCAATAATAAGGTAAGAAAAACATGGTGACATGATGTTCCCATCTATTTTACTTTTTAAATCCGATTTATAAAATATATTCAAAAAATATTTCTATATTATAGGTATTTATTTTATTTTAATTTAATAAATATTCCGAGCTGTCTATTTTATTTTTAGATATTTTACATTAAACGGATTTTCCAACTAAATTCTCAGTACACAAACTTATTTAACTTAAAAAATATACTTTTTAAAGACGTTCGATTTTAAATTTAGAATTTTTAATTTCATTTTGTATTTTTAAAGTTTGATAAGGAATTTTATTGGTTTATTTATTCCGATTGAAAATAACATTTCTAATTATCTAGGTATATTAAAATATTTCTATATAGGTAATAAAATATTTTTGCCTTATTTATAGTGACATACTAAAAATTAAAATTTATAAATTATTACTTTTTAAATATTGCCAGTTATTGTAAAATGATTCCATTAATTCTTCAATACATCTACCTACCAATATAACACTAGAAAAATAGTTTTTTCGTTAATTACGAAACTATCTAACTTCAGGTATCTACTTGTAAATTAAAAAGGACATTTTTATTAGGCATTAAATTAATTACTAGGCAATACTAATAAACTGCAAACCTTCCTATATCGCGGTTCTATCTACCTCTAACTCACACTACTGAATTATTAGATATAATTAAAAATTACCATTATAAAAATACCTACACACATTAATAAAGATGGCGAAAAAATTAATAATTTAAATATTTATGTTGGCAATAAGGTAAATACACCGTTAATTGACAGAGATTTATTATAAAGAATAAAGATGCAAAGATTGGTGCAAAGAACGTCGGCGAGTGACTCCGCCGCGCGTCAGTGCTTAATTTATCCAAATAATAGTAAGAAGATGTCTTACCATTATTGTCATTGAAAATTAAATTTATTGTGATTAATTAATTTGTTTTATGAAATGTCTTTTTGTTTTTGCTGAAAAAAAACCACCATTATATAAACGGTAATATTTTAATATCAAGTACGCAATGTTCCATCATTTTTATTTGTAATATATTTCAAAGAAAATTATTGTATTTATTTAATTTAATATAAAAGATATTAATAAAATATGGACTATAAATTAATGTTTTTTGTTGTTTTCGAATGTTTATTTAATTTCTTTTTAAAACATTTGTGATTGTTGAGGATTTGCTGTGAAACTTCCCAAGTTCTAAAAATCTTATAAGACTCCGATTTTCCAATAGTGTGTATTAAAATATTTTTTTGTTTTTCTTGTAAGACATATAGGTAGGTAGTTACTAATAGGAATTTTTAATTACGTTTTGATTAGGGGGAAATTTGTTTTTATCAGTGCCACTGAATGATGACCGAAATCACATAGTACATGTCTTCCTAAATGTTTCCTGCACAAAACGACGAAAAACACTTAAGTGGAAAGAATCACTTACGTTTATTTTCAGACTGCGGTTGTACAAGTACACTAATAATTTTCAGTATATGTCCACATAACACTTTCAAGTCAAAATATATATCACAAAAAACTCATAAAGTCGTCAAAATTGTCGTTCGATGCACACTCACAATGTCTCAAAGTAACATAAATGTTACAAAATTATAAAAGAGAAACACAGTCAGCTACGCCCAAAAATAATCTTATGAGTCCGTGTGAAAACAAAACAAAAACATGACACAAAGTACACAAAACTGAATGAAGTTCACAGATTGTAAAGTGATTAAAAAAAAAATTATAATAAATAATATTGTCGCACAATTATCGACAGTTCACTATTCACAATCGATTATCGGAGGAACGGTTTCGATCCGATTAGTTATTATTACGTAAGGTTATCCTTGGTACGGGAGCGGAGCGCGGCGTAGTCGCGAGCGCGTTCCGTTGCCGCGACACACGACTGCAGTGCGATCCTTCGGACGAAGCCCCACCAACACTACGCGCATCTGAGGCTCACTCCTTGGCGCGGCCCCGCCCAGTGGGACGCCACTCGGTAGCTAAGATGACCGTCTCCCTCCTCGTCACTCTTGCACGAAACTACGCTGGCCGTCTCGCTCCCCCACGGCGACAGTGGGGCGCGCCAATAGGATCGGTTCGGCGGATCGAGTCGAGACGATGAATCGAGATGTGTACTTAGGTATCACTGCACAAGTCCTTTTGTTGTAGTCGATAATAGGATGCGCTTTTTTTGCGGCGCGATCGACTGCCCGTTTCTTGGACTGGCTTGGACCGTGCACTGCTCTGGCATGTAACTTGTTTATATTTACAAAACACTCGGGCTTGCTCGTAGCTAACACGCCTAGCAGGCTTATATTTCGCACCTGTTTAAAATAGCTGTCCCTTAGAATAATTACTATTAAAAAACTAAGTACGTACTAAGTCAAATACTTGATTAATTAAACATATATGAATGCTTATCAATTTATTTTGTCAATTAACTTAAAATCCGTAAAGGCATGCAGATACATTAATTTTTTTATTTAAAAAGAAAATACACACAAAATTAGAGATTGTTAAAAATGCAACGAGCGTCACCTTCGAATTGTAATCACAAGTGCACAAACGCAAAGGGCAAGAGGTGTAAGGTAATCGTCTCAGTCGACAGGGGTGGCTGAACTCCGTAGGGCGCAGATGTAGGTCAGTTTTTGTTTCGCGCCACAGCCGAAATTCGGTTACTAGGTTCGCTTGTATCTGTATAGTGTCAATTATCGGTGCTTTTACCTCGTAGGTATTTATTATTATTAATTGAAATAAGAGGTTATATTAAATAGTAGGTATTAAACATGTATTAGTATTAGGTATATATATTCAACATTTTACGAATTGAAATAAAATAAACATATTTTAATAATGATAGAAAGAAAACATTTATTATATGTATTGTGTATGGTGGTTATAAATTTCATTGGTTTTTTTTTTTTAATAAAATATATTTTATTGATTTAACTGTACAAAATAGTAATTAAATATCTCCATAAATATATATTATTCCACATAATATTTATCAAAAAAAAAAAATCTTTAATCACTTACATATACTGATTGATATGTATATATTTTTGATATTTTTTTATTTAAAGGCTTTTATCCTATAAAGATATGTCAGCCTAATCATAATACCTTTTCTACAATAGAGAGGGAACTATTGATACAAAAATACAGTAATAAAAGATTTTGCCATTTCGAAATATATGTATATATTTTTAATTTATGTAAACTGCCAACTAAATGTAAAATTATTATTCTTAAGTCATTTCGTTTCGTACGGCCGTTGTGTTTCACCCCGTCATGAATTACATTCAACTCCGCTCGTCACGAGATGGCGTTGCGCGTCGCTTTTCCTATTTTCACGGCATTTCCACGTGGAAAACTGTAACATATTGAATTAAATATAGCAATTTAATAAAGAATCATGTGAATTATGTGGATAAATTTTGAAATTTTAATATAGTGTAGGTAATATTTTAGGTATGTACATTTGTAGTTTTAGTTAGCAGGTAAAAATATAGATACAGTTCATTTATTCGTAAGTTACAAAATAACACGTCCATTTTCAGTTAATTATGTCATTCCCATTATGTGTATAATTTTAAGAAAACAGTAAATTCTCTATATAATATCTAAAAATAATAAAAATATTTAATAGTAATATTAATCGATGTTTGAATCGAAGCATTTGGCGTTCCATTGTTTCTGCCTACCCTAATGGGAGACAGGCGTGACAGATATGTATGTATGTAATATTAATTTATAACGATTATAATTACGTCACTTCAAATTGTATTTATGTATATTTAATAAATGTCAGAATTAGAGGTTATTTATATTTTTATTAAATTAAATTTTAGTTATCTAATTTTATTTAACTTAATAAAAATTAAATAAAATAGCTGTTTGTTTACTTATATTCAACTAGTGAATTTACAGGGTACAGAGGAATAACATCTGAGTCCTCAGGAATGGAAACGCATGGGGGGTATCATGGGCGAAACAGTATACTCTGTTATGTATACTTTACATCAGGTGTGCAGGATTGTTTGCCATTCTAAGTTGCAAATAAAAAGTTTTGTTCCATGAATAAAAAAATAAATGAAATAAAGGAATAATAATAATAATATTCTCGACCTGGCTCACGAGGTGACCGAAATGTGGGAGGTGACGTCCACCGAAATCATCCCATCGTTTTGTCGGTGAACGGTCTTATCCCAACCAGTCTGGAACATCAGACGGTTGGGATTCCGAGGCGGCTCACTCCCGGGAAAGATGCAGAAAGCGGTGCTCTTAGATACTGCTCGCATTGTACGCCGGTTTCTCTCCCTGGGGCCCTGAACCCCGGCCGACTGTGCTTCTGCCGGGGGTTAGTTTGCCATCTCCTCTCCTTAAGAGGGGAGATGTGAATTCTCTAGAAATAAAAAGAAAAACTTTTATTTTCAGGTATATACAGTTATTATGATTAAAATTTCCTTTTAATTAATTAATTACAATTTTTACATTATTAATTATACAAACTATTATTATTATTTTTAAAATTCACATTAATTACAAAATACTAATTTAAATTATTTCATTATAAAATCTTTTGTCGTCAGGTATGCAGCGAGGAATACAGTCTTTACAATATGATTACTTATTGACAATAATGTTTCATGAAATTTTGCCTTACATTTATATAAAATAGCAAAAAGTCATTACATATATACATACTAGCTGACCCCGTAAACGTATGCTGCTGAATATAGATCTCCCCTTAAGGAGTTTTGCCAGTAGTTGCCATGCTTGGCAGGCGGATTGGCAACCGCAGTTAGGCTTTGGTGATGTTTAAGAGGGACGCTGCTTTCCATCCTTCGATCATTATATTCCCTTTACAATTCCTATGGGAAAGTAAGGGATGGTTCTATGCGGGGATCACATGGTGAACTGACAACAACAAGGCAATTATTGGTTGTTAATTGAAGGAGTTAATTATTATTATTATTTTTACCAGAGGGAGACTTTGTACAAAAGTCGATTGCTTGGGTACCTCTGTCCCATTCGTGTTTCTACCGTGAAGCAGTTGTGTTTGCATGGCTGTGTTTTGGTTTGAAGGGTGGGATATGACGTGAATTTACTGGGTACAGAGATATAACGTCTGAGTCCTCAGGAATGGCAACGCATGGGAGGCATCATGGGCGAAACAGTATACTCTGTTGTGTCCATGATACTGCTCATGTCTATAGGCGACGGTTACCACTTCCCATCAGGTGGGCCGTCAGCTTGTTTGCCATTCTAAGTTGTATAAAAAAAAATATTAATGAGGTTTAGTTAGATAGAAAAAACTTGTATTGAGCCCGCCCTTTTTAAGCTGTCAGTGATAGGAATTTTAAGACGTTCTTAGCAGCGATATTTTTTATCTCCTCAGGATATAAATTGTATTTTCCAATAGAGATGCATCGTCTATTTATGAGTGGGCTGCAGCTACAAATTGGGCTGCAGGGTTTCTGCTTCATCGTGACAAAACCTGCAAATGGTCTTTGGGTATAAGCCTAGTTGGGCCATGTGGTTATTTAGTTTGCAGTATTTAGCAAGAGCCTTTGTTAATACACAAATATTATGTTAATACAATTTAATTTCTTAATAAAATTGTATAAAAACAGTATAAGCTGTAGGGCGAGGGATGGGCAGCAGCATCCCTCTTAAAACATCTCTAAAACTCTGACTGCTTTTTCAAAGCAAAGCAAAGCCCCCTAAGGGGGAGGGCTTATGTTCAGCAGTGGACAATTAAAGGCTGATATGATGATGATGATGATGAATTTATTAATTATCGGATATAACAGGTGATCACCATATCAGCCGTTAACTGTCCACTGCTAAACATAGATAACCCCATAAGGTTTTTTTTCCAGAATCTACTGAGTTCCTGTTATTTTTGCAGCCGAAGCGCGTCGCTACTGGGATACAACGTTACCATAAGGGGAGTTTGCCAGTAGCTGCCACGCATGGCAACTGCAGTGAGGCTTTGGTGTTGTTTTAAAAGGGACGAGCAGAGGGAGAGAATCAGGTAATATACATACAAACTAACAAACTATTACATCTTTATATTTAAAAATAATAGGATCTTCATCGCGCCTCCAATCAAACTGTTTATAATTACTCCTCTCCATCCAAAGGTTGCCTGGAAGAGATCGCTCTTAGCGATAAGGTCGCTCATTGTTTTATCATTGTGATCATTTCTTGTAATTGTTTGTATCTATAATAAGTATACTACTGTAATCTTTTGGAGGAAACAATAAAGAGTACCTATCCATTTATTTTTTGAAGTAGCTTCAAAACCTTCGCAACTTGTCAATAATAAAGACCAACTCACAATTTTCAGCCGCCGAAACCAATTTTAAATTTAAAATTGCACAAATAAAAGCTATCCCGTGTAATAGTGACAAAATAATTGCGCGGGAGTCGATCGTGCGAATGTAATTAGAAGGCGCGCGCGCAACCAGCCGCCGTGGACTCGTCGCTACCAAGTTACAAGAGAAACATGTTTCTTAGATACATATATATATATATATATATATATATATATATATATATATATATATATATATATATATATATATATATATATATATATATATATATATATATATATATATATATATATATATATATATATAGGGTACAGTAATTATTATATGATAAGTATCCTTTAAATGAAGTATTCTATCATCGGAATTGAATATTTTCACTTAAGAAACCTGCGTTGAAAAATGACAAAAAAGTTTACAGCGCCCTCTACTAACACGGTGTGTTTAGCTATATTAGTAGTATGAGAGACTCGAAATTTTTTTTTTATTCTATATAGAATGGCAAACAATCGTCGCCTATAGACATAGCAGTATCATGGACATAACAGAGTTATACTGTTTCACCCATGATTTCCCCAATGCGTTGTCATTCCTGAG